TTAACCCCCCCCCCCCCCCCCCCCCCAAATATACTAGAAACCCAAGAAAATAAAAAACCTGAGATTTAACAATATATTGTGATATCAAAAGTAAGCAATACATTAGATTATTCATGTATTTAATCGAGAAAATAGCCATATTTGAACCTAGGTCATCTACTCTCAGACTTTTGGGTACGTTTGTATTTCATAAACTTTCATTGTTTTGGGAATTTCAGATATAGTTTTGATTTTTGGATATCTTTTTGGGATGTTAGGTATATATAGTTTGTCACAGATTTTCGAGTATATTTTGATTTTGTATATTTTTAAAATTAATTTATTTTTTGTGTTTTCGAGTTCTCAAATATATTTTATATATATTTATTTATAGATGGTTGACCAACATTACTACAATCATAGTGATTTCGGTTTAAATTTGATAGACCATGTATGATTATGAAATGGACATGATATCAAAATTTATTTTAAAAATTGAACGACGAAAATTGTTTGACCATTTCCCGACAATTAACTACTTGATTAAAAAAATTTCTTCAAGTTATTGCGTTTTTTTGGTAATTTTTTTTTAATTAAAAAGGTTATTGTGTTTAGTTAAATTTGTAGACTTTAAAGATACTTGGAAATTTTTAATAGTTCTGATAATTTTCAAGACATTCTTTCAGTTTAAAAATAATATGATAGAAACAATCTGATAGTACGAAATCTGTCAAAATCCAAATCTAGAAGTAATGTCAGAAACATCATCAATCATCATAAGTTACCAAATTTAGAAAATGTCTTCATCCTCTACAAACTAACACACACACACTTCTCTTTTTAGCTACACTCTTTTTTTTTTTCTTTCTTCTCAGCTTTCATCACAAATGGAAAAACCACATTATATCCCAACTAGTCCAAAGCTCTTGGGAGAGAATGAGATCTCAAGCAAATCTCATACATTTTCAGAACATTCTAAACCCTTCTAATGAGCTTTGATAGTACGGCTAGACACACCATGTAACAACTTCACAAACCCAAGAAAACTAAGTTTCCCATCGGTGTGCCTTAGCCAATCATGAAGCACAGCATGTACCGGTACAGAAGGACCAAGACCAAGTTCCTGAAAACAAGTTACAACTGATGAGTTAATCAGAACATCTTTAAAGACTTCAGAATATTTTCTTCTATACATTGTTGTAATAAAAGGAAAAGGACTCACCGAAGCAAGCTCATCTATCATGATGGGTCTGTTTCCCTCCTTTTCAAAAAGCTCATAAGCACAACGAGCGTGTTGTTCCCATCGATCAAGAGATTCTAGCTGGTGAACACTCAATGCAGCTGCACAGAACTCTTCAAAGTCCATTCTTCTATATTGAAGAGCACTCAGCTATAAACAGATACAGTTCCCAAGTCAGATTGTGCAATTTCCAAAACATTAAAAACTGTTCAATCAAAGGCTCTTCTTACTTGTGCTAAGAACTCAGGTATACGCGAGTCCTTCATTGCATCTGTTGCCATTTTCATCAGAGCCTAAAACAAAGAGAGGTCCAATCCTGTGTCATGATAATATAAACCAAAGGTTAACCACCACGGAAGGTAGAGAACTTACTGATTTGATGTTTTCTAGACTTATCGTTCCGTTCTTGCTAGGTTCTAGTAAAGCAAACTGCTCCCTCAGATAAAACAGTTCATCAACCGTAAGTGTTTTTGACAAGGCCTGCAAGAAAAACGTTTAACAGTAAGCGAAAACATAAGCATACCCATGTAAGTAGAAACACTGAAGAAACTGATCCACTCACCCTTAATGCAGCTTTACGGAGAGATGATGATCTTAAGTAAGCTCTCATAAGTTTGAAAACAAGAATATCCAATGGAACCTTTGCGTCATTTGATTCCTTTATCCATGGATGACCTAAAACCAAATGAGAGAAGATTACAATCTTTATCACATTCAAACAAGTTGCATTCTACTACGTTAACTTACTCAAGGCTTGTGCAGCAGTTAATCTTTTACGCGGGTCTTTATTTAGCAACCTCTTCACAAAGTCTCTTGCCTCTGAAGATAACAAAGGCCAAGGAGGATCGTCAAAACTCGGATCTGCTTTTAAAACAGAACGAAAGATTCCTGACTCCGTCCTTGCCCAAAACGGTCTGCTTCCACATAATAGGATGTACACAATCACACCAACACTCCAGATATCAGCTTCTGTGCTATAAGATCTATGTAGTACTTCAGGTGCTACGTAGTATGCACTGCCAACAATGTCATTGAGTCTCTCATCTGCAAATTGAATCGTCAAAGTATATAAATAAACAAGATGTTGGTCTCTAGCTTGTCAATCTAAGTAGAAGACAACTTTTGTACCTGGTCTCACGTAATCTGACAAACCAAAATCTATTGCCTTCAGTTGAGAGGTGTCTTCTTTTGAGGTAAAAAGAAAATTCTGTACCAAAACAGTTTTAAGTAAGCAATGAAACATCAAATGTATAGACGTAAAGAGCTTTTTACTACCTCTGGTTTAAGATCTCGGTGTACAACACCTTGGAGATGACAAAATGCAACCACATTCAATATTTGTATCATAACAGTCTTCGCATCTTCCTCTGTGTACTTCCCACCTCTACACATAAAACACACCACCAAGTTCAATATTAAGTGATCACAAAACAGAAACCAATAGAACAAACAATCTTTTACCTTGAGAGTATTCTATCCAAAAGCTCTCCTCCTTCACATAACCTAAAACAAAAAAAAAACAAAACCATTAGTTAAAGACTATTGGAACAACAAAACTCTGAGGTGAAAAGACAGCTCACTTACTCCATCACTATATAAACATTATCATGATCCTCATAAGCATCATAGAAATGAGGAAGGTTATCATGACCAGACAAAGCTCTCAATATCTTCACTTCTCTCCTCACATCTTCAATAGCAATAGCCGTAGTCATCTAACACAAACAAATCACAATCAATCTAACAGATCTCTAACATCAAATAAAATAAAACATAAAAGCACAAACCTTTGCTTTGGGAATAACTTTAACAGCTACTTGTTGTCCTTTGCAATCACCTTTCTTAAACTTAGCAGCACAAGTATACCCAAAATGCCCCCGACCCACTTCATCACCAAGCTCGTACTTGCTAGAGAAACTCTTGCTGAACCCGAAGCTCTTATCCAACCCCACTCCTTCCTCTTCGCCGCCTTCAGGGATCGCCGCGGAGGAGTTCGGCTTCACGGAGCCGTGCCGTCTCGCGAGGACAGCTCTGATGTGTTTGGCCGGAGAAGGAGGAGGAAAGGGGCGTTTGAAGAATCTTTTGGGCGTGGAGTTGGAGTTAGTCGCCGGAGATCTCGCCGGAGTTTTCTTGGAGAAGAAGGAGTGAGCTGGGCTGGGGCTGTAGAAAGGGAAAAAGGGAGACTTTTTGCCCTCATTGGTAGTTACAGAGTGATCTTCTCCGCCGTCGCCGGAGGGAGATAAAGGAGGAGGCTTTACGGATTCCGACGCCGGAAGTGGGCTGTTTCCGGCGGGAACTCGGTGGGGGTTTCGGGAATTGGAGTGGCAGAGACCCATTTAAGAACCTCTGAAACAGATCAGAATCTCATTTCGAAAGTTTGAATCTTGCAAATGAGAAAACAGAGTCTCTCTGTTTCTGGATTTTTATATTTTTATAATTTTTTGGGGGAAAGTGAGTTTTTGCTTATTCGTCTTTGGAAGCGTCTCCTTTGTCGATGGCGAAAGATTTGGATCCAAAGAGAATGAGTTAAAAGGGAAAGAGAAACTACCCTCCTCAAGTTCGTTTCTTTTTTAATTACATTAAACAACACTACTAATTACTACACTTGATTATAAGTAGTGTTGTGTTTTTTTTATTTAAATCGGTTAACTGATTACTTACGGAGCTTACGCTACCAGTGACATAATAAATACGTGTGTATGTATTAATAAAAAGACAAAGACCGAACTAGAAAGAACAAGAGGAGAAGTCGGTGAAATTTATTAAATAAGTGTGTGAATATTCTTACGGCGATGTATAATGTTTTCTGTAACGAATATGTATGATATTTTTTGGTTGATCGTAATCAAGCAAATAAAGTCCAACAAACTTCATTAACTAGTATTGGACAATTTAATAGACATTGACAGGGTTTTGAATTATTTTATATACATAATACATATGCATTTATTTATATACATAATACATATGAATTTATTTATATACATAATACATATGCATTTAAAATCCTGTCAATTCTTGAATGTGCACTAGATTTTCTATTCGGATTATATACTATTAATTTATTCGCTGATAATTTAACTCAATTCAGCATTTTTTTTTTCATCTGAGCTACGTACATTTTAATTTTTTTTATTAAAAGTACTATTTCCATGATCTTAGTACAAAAAGTATGAAAACAAGTACGAGTATTTGAGTAGATAATTTTTTGATTAGAAAAACAAGAAAATTCCTAGACAAGAATTATTACACATTTAACTTCAGAAAAAAATTCAGATGCTAATCAGTAATCAACCAATTCAAATTATTATTTTTTGGTCATAGTTTTTTTTTTACTTTTGTTCGGTCATACAGTTTTTGTCAACAGAAAGTATACATATATTATCAGGTGGTTGGAGGATATGCGCTATGATACCCCGTTAAAACCATTTCCAAGTACAACTTATAATGCTTATAATCTTATAAAGTAGGGTTTATAGTGATTAAAACCTCCAACTATTTTTAAATCGGATAAAAAACCTTCAACTAAAATTTTATGTTTTTAAACCTACAACTATTAAACCGTTAATGTCGTTAACCTTCCGTTATCAAAATCGTTTTTTCTTAACGGAGACCCGTTAAATCGAAACACCACGTTTCATGTAATTTCAAAAACGACATAAGGTTCTTACTATCAATATATATTTTTGTGATTTAAACTTCCAACTATTTTTAAATCGGATAGAAAAATCCTAACAAATTTTTTTATATTTTTAAACCCTCAACTATTAAACCTTTAATATTTTTAACCATCTGTAAACAAAGTCATATTTTCTGAACGGGAAACCTTAAATTGAAACACAGAGTTTCATGTAATCATATAAACAGCATGAAATGTTTAAACCCCCTATATCAATGAGCAATGATAATCACAATTCATCCTCAAATAAAAAAATGAATAGGAGAGAAATAATTAGGGTTGATTGCGTACTGTTAAGGTAGATGGGCTTCCAACCTAAAACCAATTGGTGATAAGTGGAGTGGCCCATCTATCATATATACTAGATATAATCTCTTGCAATTTCTGATGTGGGACCTTTGTCCCTAATACGCCCCCTCGAGATGATGGCTCTTTGGCGTCAATCTCGGAAGAAAATAAAAAATGGAAAACAATACAAAAGCCAGCGCAACACATATTTCTCTGCATAAACCAAGAGAGAAAAATGAAACAAATTACTATGTTTCAACAGTAACTAGCGAAAACGCAAGTTGAAATTTTTTCACCTGATTGGCTAAATATTAGCTGGAGTCAAAGTAAATATATTTTACACTTAAAATATATCGTCAGAAGTGCCATACAATCATAGCCTAAAATTAGAAACAATAGAATTTTTGGACTTACCTCACCTTCGATGAAAAGGAAAAAGAAATTTAATTTTTTTATTTAAGGATGAATTGTGATTGTCATTGCCCATTGATATAGGGGGTTTAAACATTTTATATCGTTTATATGAACATGAAACTCTGTGTTTCAATTTAACGGTTTCTCATTCAGAAAATATGACTTTGTTTACTGAGGGTTAAAAGCAATAGGATTTAAAAATTTAATAGTTGAGGATTTAAAAATATAAAATTTTATGTTGGGGGTTTTCTATCCGATTTAAAAATAGTTGGAGGTTTAAATCATTAAAATATATATTGATAGTAATAACCTTATGTTGTTTTTGAAATTACATGAAACGCGGTGTTTCGATTTAATGGGTCTCCTTTAAGAAAAAACGATTTTGATAACGGAATGTTAACGGCATTAACGGTTTAATAGTTGGAGGTTTAAAAACATAAAATTTTAGTTGAAAATTTTTTATCCGATTTAAAAATAGTTGGAGGTTTTAATCACTATAAACCCTATAAAGTACTACAAAACTATTAATAGTACTCCTCTATGACATTACTGCCGGTTTAATATAGATGTTTGTCAGAATTAACAACGATTTTTTCAATTATTTAGTAATCCCGAAGCAGGGAATTTAGTTATAAAACTCTGGAAGTTTTATCAAGGCCCAAGCAGTAATAAGTTTTTATCCAATGACAAAATGAATTTTCAAATAAGAATAAAGAAAAAAAAAGAATTGCTCAAAAAAAATTTCTAAAAAAAAAGAATAAAAAGAGAGAGGTGTTGGCAAATATGATGTAATAAGACGTAAGGCCAGCAAAGAGAGGTGGTGGGTAAACAGGGACCCAATAAGAGGATGGTTGTTGTTCCAGCTCGTTAAATAACAATATAACTAAAAAGAAATTGTCTTTCAAAAAATAAAAACTAATAATTTATTTGTTTCTGAATAATATTTTTTTCTCAGTATTACTAATATTATACATACTAGTAAAGTTTAATCACAAGATATTATTTCTGTAATTTATAATGCAATTAAAACTGGAATACTTTTAAAAAACATTTATTTTAGAAATGAGAGAGAGGAATTAATAATTAATTAGTGAATACAACTATTGAAGTAGGTTTGTTTCCTTCCCTTAATTAACGCTGCAGGCATTTGGATATTGTGGTGGGGACTCTGCCGATGCTTCCATGATAAAAGAAGCTTACCTTATGAAGGGTAAAAGCGTCATTCACTATATATATTGTTTTAATTTCTTGGTCCACCTCATAATTTTAAGACACGTCAGTAATTCAATTGGGTCAAAGATGTTTAGCTTCTCACGTAGAAAACACGCATTAGCAAATTAAAATATATAACTGCTACTTGTAAAATTTTACAATTTAAACGGTCTCAGGCTCTGATCTACGTTTTATTTTTATAGGCGGAAGATTGTGATTCAAATGTTTGAGATTTCATGTAATTAACTAACATCATAAAACAGAAAACAATACAGCGTGTAAGAGAGTGAAACTAATGATTATAATATATTAACATGTTTGTATGAGATCAGTCATGATGAATTGAAAACATTTCTTAGTTTGCTTGTGGCACCCGACATATTGAGAAGCCAATTCAAATTTTGCAGCTAGCTATCATTTTTTTACCCACTTATATTCGTATTATTAGGTTTTCAAAATGCATGCACACGTAGTGGTAAACATATTCATTTGTGTTCCTATATGCAGAACTGCCTATATGATATGTTTGATGAATTTGTATTCTCTTTAAATTAATTTTGTAACCAGTTTGGATATATAGCTTTGTGTCTTTCTCCCTCCCAATTAAAATTATGTGCCAAAAGTACTGATTAGTTAGAGTATACTTCCCTCTTCATATGTTTCAAAATAATACATATTTTAAATTTTTATCAATTATTAAGAAAATGTTTTAAAATTTAGTTATTAATGTATAATTTTTTGTACTTTTATCTTTCTCATATTTTTGAACAAATAAGATTTCAAGAAATGAAATTAATGTATTTGAAAATCATAGATTTTCATTATTAGTTAATAAAAATACATAAAAAAACTAAAAAGATACATCTTTTTGAAACAACAATGTTTCTAGAATGTGAATCTTTTTGAAACAGATCGAGTACTTGATAATCTGGAGAAGAGATTAAACAACCGGTTTTTTTTTTCAACCGAAGAAGAATTAGTCGGGTCGTAAAGCCCGAACCACCTCTTGATATATAAAAAAAAAAGAAGACAAAAAAAGTTACTATATACATATCCATAATCAGAATTTGGTTGTTATTAGTTTAAGTTTGTGCTAGCTCTTGGCATTTTGTTTACGTTTTGAAAAAATGTATGACTGATTTTAAAAGACAATTTTTTTCTCTAAAACCAATTATAGACGACCAAGGCTCGGTTTTATTTTTTATTTTTTCCTAAAAGTTAATAGAAAGTGTTGCAACTTTTTTTTTGAAAATTTTGATTTTTTTTAAGGGCGATTTAATGTATACAAATATAGCATTTTAATGTGTAGACGTGTATCTAAAAGTCTTGATTAATAAATATCAATACTTGTCCAAGGATATGGATGAAAAAATGTAACACATTGTGTGGAGTATACGTGAGCAGATCACATAGTCAAGGAGACTAACCATCCTCATGAGGCTAAACATCTTATGAAACTATCATTTATATCTTATAATACAAAGTCGTTCATACTCCATAGGATATAACAACGCAGTAAGAGAACAAAAATCAATTGACAAGATCCAAGAATATAAATTGGACTTTTACCTTTTATATAATTTTGTGCCTCGTCCTTAAAAGACGGGACAATCAAATAAATCTAGTCGTTATTCCACTAAAGATTCGAAAGTCAACTTCCAAAATCTTATGATA